GGCTAGAGTAAAGATTCTTGCATACCCAGGTACAGCTAAACAGGTGTGGAGGAAAATGTGCCATGGGCAGATGAACAATTATTCCTGAAAAAAAAGAAGGGACAAGAGAGTTTCTTTCTTCCTCTGTTACCTGGTCCCTAAGCTGCTCCAGCGCAGCTACAGAAAGTTTTGAAATGAAGATCCCACATGGCTTAAAAGCAATGTGTTGTTCTGTACACCTGGCTTCAGCTAGGCAGCTGGCAGAGCAGAAGCCACCTTAAAGACCAGATATTTTATGTGCCAATTTCAATGAAAAACAGGAAGAGCAGACATACTCAGATACATCCAGAAACTTATGGAATTCATCCTAGAGTAATAACTATTCTGAGTGATTTCTGAAGGGCAAGTGAGTTCCTAAAAAACTGAAGAGCCATAAATACAGAATCTAATTGCTGACACACAGAGGTCTGGGTAGATACTGTTCATTTCATGTTTGGGTGTGTAGCTGACAAGTGGAACTACTTGTAGTGGAAAGTGATCCTTTCTAATTAAGAGCATCAAAACAGGACCAAAAAAAGAACCACATCATACGAGATAAAGTTCAGCTTCCTCTATATCCCAAAACAAAGTACCTGTTTGATAACGGGTGTGAAAGAAAACATAGGGGATATCCATAGCAATGCAACAGGGCAATAGCTGCTTACAAATGTTCATATAAGAAGAAATACTTCAAGATCAATTCATACCATTCAGGGACTAGCACACCAACCAAAGACATGACCACAAAATCGAAGTAATTGGTATTTTACGTTTAGATTAAACGGGGCCCAACATCATCTGATCTGCTGCATAAAATAAGAGGGTGCTAAACCTCTGCTTGAACCCAAGCACATGCTTGCATCTTGGACTGTAAGGCATGTTTCTTCTGCCCACTATAAGCTGTTATCATGTAGAGTTTGTTGAGGAACCTGGCTCTGAAAAATGGTAAGTTTTGAGTCATTTCCGTGCACGAGTGAAATACAATTTAGCAAGCCTGGCCTACTTGTTATCTAAAACACAGAAATGTTTCTACCATCTATTTTTAAGCACAAATTGAGTTTTAGAAAGCTTAACTCTCTGGACTCCTGATTTTGTCTGTAGACAATGAGTCAGAGGCAGGAGCTTAACTCAGCAGGAGCCTGTCTCCATAAGGAACACATGGAAACTAGTCTTTGAAGTCTGTCTGTCTAAAATTAGATTTTCTTCAGTACCTCACACAACCCTGATTGTGTGCAACTACTTGCAGATGGAAATTACAGCCACTCTTGCCACAGTCCTGGAGATCAAATACTCTCCGGTCATTCTGATATGGTTGAATCATTTAAAATCCACAGTGACAAATGTTAAACGCTTTTCAAAATGTCTTGTTTTTTTTAATCAAGACATTTTTATAGCCATCAAGATTTCCCCAATATTTATGCATGTGGGCATAAATATAATTTAACCTATGTTCTAATCTATGAAGATAATATAGACATCCTTTAGAAGTCTAATGCAATTGCCTTGTTGCAGATGCACAAAAGCAGTAACCGCCATGCAGCTCCCACTATCTGTAATTCTCCAGCCACATGGGAGGCTGTGGGAGGAGATGTGCAGATGTCTGGGTGGTGCAGCTGCTGTCTGTCCTGCTTTGCTTCTGTAGCACCTGTAGCCAACATTCGCTTTTTGACTTTGAGAATCAGTGTGCTATTTTACTTGATCCCATTCCTGCAACTGAATTTTAGCCAAGTGCAGGTTTAATTTTCAGTGTTTCCTACTCTTGAAAAGCTGATATGAATAAAGTTTAAGTACACAGATTTTAAACAACCACTGAAGTCAAACCAAAATTTATTTCTAAATTTACTTGTGATAACTAGGTTATTCACATGCATAAACCAATAACTTTCTTCTCACCTCCTGTATTGGCACACTGAAACTAGGGAAAACAAAGAGGAAATTGTACCTAGAAGAGAATATGATTTATCGTGCCTTGGGTAACAACTTAAGTGTAAGTGGTAACAACTCATGCACTCTCCTGCATAGCCAGCCTGCACCTCTGCATAACAGTTTGATTAGGTTTTAATTTACCTCATGTACTAATCATGACAGACGTGATCTGTCTGTCAGATCAGAACTTTAGTACATTAAACAACACCATTAAACTTCTCATTTTCATTTATAAAACAGAAATGATTCCAGAAGATTAAAAGAAGAAAAATACTCCACATCAGAAACATGTTCTCATCTTCTGTAATGACTCTCTTTTAGTTGGAAGCTGCAACTGTGACAGCCTATCTGCCCTTCTGAACTGCTGCTTTTGAGATACAGACAGACAGAAGGCAGCAATATATGGATCTCCTGTCCTAACTCCCAGGGTAGCACAATCAATTAGCACTATGTGTGATGAGATACAAACACATCGGAAATAATCACTAAACATGCTATCATCTCATTAGTTCACACCAAGCAGATTAATTTAAATTATAAGACAGCAAGTGCTATAGACTCTGCCTTGAAAATACTGAGATCACAAAGTCTCTCTTCCTAGAAGCAACCGCTCACTGGCAACGAGGAGCTGCTTTCTAAGCAAAGCAACTTCTTAATGACAAGGTTGTAGACTAGAGCTGTGTTCTGCCTTCTTTCCAAACAAGTAGGGAGGTGAAACTTAGACTTCAGATCTCAGTCTACCCAATGACTTGATTTGCAATGAGGCTCACAGGTATCTGTCATAGACTACTAGGTCAAGAGATGAAGCCCTAATACAAAGTGCCACTTTGGCATGATTATGCAGACTCAATCAAATGCAATATTGTGGATTCCAATCTGGCACAAGACTTTTTTTTTTTTTTTTTTATATGCACTGCTATAATAAAATAAGAGCAAATCTGTTCTAAAACGACTTGTGCATTCTTTTTTAACTGAGGCTATGTAACCTAGCTCTCGAGAATCTCTTGTACTTAAAAAACCTACCTTCACTTTGGATTAATTGCTGCTAGTGGGAAGTGTTTTATTATAAGAAATAACCAAACAGCAAAGCACTCTTTGAGGAAAGCATTAAAAGGTAATTTCAACCACTAGCCATATGTAGTTGGTGCTCAAACTAAACAGTGCTTCTTAGGAAAAGCTGAAAACATGAAGTCACCACTGGGGAATTTCTTTTGCTCAAACCAACACTGTTTGTGATTTCAGACCTGTTCAAATTCCACTGAATCATCCTGGAAGCAATGCGAAAGGCTGTGACACGCAGTAACTGAGGGAAATCACATTCTTAACGGTGAAGAGCCAAAATCTTTAAGTATTACAGCAGCAGAGCACTTTTTAGACTTCCATGGGATAAATACGTTCACAAATAGACATTCTACAGGTATTTTGTCTGGTTTTTGCGTCCCAGCTATATTAATTTTAACATTTTCAATTTATTTTTCTGTTCTTAGTGTAAGAGATTGGTGTCTCCTTTCCTGAACGAAACATTTCTCTCTAATCATAATGCTGTTGCTAAAACCCATTAAAATCAGAGACACGGTGTTAAAATGTCAAGTGTGTAATTGATGTGTGAAATAAATGGACTCTCAGGGCTACGCAAAGGGTGAGCAGCCACTCTGGAGGATACTTCACATGAATGCAGGAGTGCTGTCTGTTCAAACACATTAGACAGGAACATCTGAAGGCAGCTTTTACTGCTACCTTTCTTTTCTCTTTCCTGACAATGGATGTAAAATACAAACAAAATTTCAACAAGTGCAGTATTTCATTTGGGCAAAAATTCTATTGTAAGTCTGTAATTTCCTTAAAATATATGAAAAATAAGAAAAGTTCAGAAATGTAGCATGCAGACAGCCTGATTTTTTATTTCATGATAATGGCAAAGAGGGAAACTGAAGTTAGTTTCTGATTACTTTTCTCATGGTGCAGTAAGAGACCAGGAACAATCACCACCTCCTGCAGCCCCGAGCCAAGGTTGAAAAGAAGAAATGTGCCAATTAGCTAAGAAGTAACTCTAGAGAAACCTAATTTTTGTCTCTTTCAGAAAATAAGGAATAATCATTGATCTTTATATGTCTTGAAATTTATATCCATCAAAAAAGTGGAGTCCTGATCTCTCTTTACTCTTTTTAGTTTGTCCAAACAGGATAATTTTCTTTACAGTGAAAAGCTATTGATTGCTCTGATTGCATGAAAAATAGCACTTTTACATTTTAGAGATAAAGACATTAATGTGGATATTGATGTAAATAATACTGATACATATTCATTTTTAAACAAGTTGTGTCATTTTATAATATGATAAAAGAGTCTGAATTATTTTTTACTTCAAGGGCACAGAGGAACACCTTTGAAACATCTTGAGAGGACAGAAGGTTACAGGCATAGATGTATAGATGGTGGGGATTAATAGACCCTAGCCTTCTTCTCATCAGTCTGAAGATTTTAATTTCCAGAACTACCAGCAGAATTTAAATGTGCATTTAATTGCATAAATGTTGCCAAGTATCCTACTTTATATATCTACAGTCTTTATGAATATTCATATAAATTAATAATTGCAAATAGGTTGTCAATAGAGCAGATAGTCTGAAATACTTATTAATAACCATCATTATAATACTCGACCCTTGTATAGCATTTCCTCTCCAAGGTATATAATGGCCTTTTCTTTTAATATTAGCAAAACTTAATTAGTCTTCCCAATCACCTAGGAGACTGCATAGCGAAAGAGCACAATGAGAAAGACTGGTCTATAATAAAGAAGGCTGCTCTTGTAGACATGAGCTACAATGGAAGCAACATGGAATGAGAAGAAGGCAATGGCACGTGTACCAGGGCACTGACCCTGAGCAATCATTCTCGATGTGTATTTGCAAGCCCTAAACAATTTAGCTTCATTCTCCACTTCTTACCTATCACAACTATTCAAACTGTACTTACCTTGAGAGCAGGGCGTAAGACTTAGTCTGTGTCTGTAACTGAACGAGGCCATGCACAAGGATTATCTTTATTCTGATGTGGGTCTGCAGGCAGTACTGCAATATGAACAAATAATATCAATAATAAGTGTACTGATATTGTAAATAAATATAATAAATATACTTATTCATCGATGACCTATTCTGCGTGATCAGTACTGCCATGGAATGGTCAATGCCATAAATGCCAAAGGAAAATGAAAGCCTCCCTAGCTGACTTTTAAGTTCAAACTAAACTCTTTGAGAACTTGGTTTAGAACACAGAACTCTTTTTCTGATGTGTTAAGATAGTTATGGTATGAAAAACAGCCATTAAGGTCTACAAATAGTTTGGAGTTGAAATGAATTCAGCATTTTGTTCATTTGACGTGGCAGAAATTATCCTCTCTCACACTATCACCTAAGATTTAATATTTTTCCACTGTAGAGAAGCTGCTGTTACAGGTATATTTAATATTTTTTTCTAATAGTTTATGAGAGACAATGTTTTGACTATTTTTTTTTCTATGTTTTGCTTACAATAAATGAAACTTTAAAGTCTAATGAAATAATGCTAAATGCACTAGTCCTAGAGGGTCAAATGATTAGAAATAACAGATTACTGACTACTTAGGTTGTCACTTCCCCAAATGTAATAAAGACATTGACCTAGTCCTCCTTTGCACTCAAATGCAAACCAAAACAGAATACAATTGGTATTGTCTTCCCATAGGACAACAGCAATTTTAATTACTTGCAATCATAAGATCATGCCTCTGTCTTTCTAGATTCATAGCCCACCGTATTCCAAAGCTGCTACATGAATCTGAAATATCAAGGGAAATGCAATTCTCCATTTACAGCAGCTTATGTTTTGTTTGTTACTTAGACTTGTGTCTTGTATCAGGTCAGTCCATGCAAAAAGCATTCACGCAGCAACCAGCATGTCCAGCACCATTACCTTTGGGCACATTTACTCCAATCTGCCAACAGCTCATTTTGTAAATTCACTGCACTGAGTCTTAAGCCTCTCATAAGAGCTGTGTCAGGAAAGTGACCTCCCACTAATCACAGAGAGCCATTTTCCAATAAATAGCTAGGGCTGAGTGGGCACTTGCAGATAAACCCTAACCAGTACAACCTATGTGCATAGTATTCTCTTTCTCCCCTTAATGGATACATTTGTACACATGCATTTACATCCTTAGTAACAACCAATACACCTTTTTTATTCTTTTTTTTCTTTCCTCTTTTTTTTTCCATTTTGGTTAAAATTCTGTCTTTTCAGAAATTGTATATTTCCAAGTAAAGCATTCCTTCCATGGGACCAAGCATAAAAGGTACAAATCCTTTGTGGTATAAATCAGCAGAAGTCTGCTGACTTAATGGAGCAGAGTTGATTTACACCACCTCAAGATCTGCCAGCAAACATCTGAAATACAAAACATGTCTTTTTGATTTTTCTTTTTTCTTTAAGCCATTCCATTTTTATTACCATTTGAAAGAAACACTAAAGTGTTTACTTGTCAAGAAGACAAAATATTTTCTGGCAAACCTCATCCCATTCATTCCCTTAAGTTCTAAAGTGATCGTCAGCATGGCAGAGGTCATCTTTCTCCCAGTACTGAGCCCCAGTTTCAGTGCAGACACATCAATTAATGAATGGAGGAAGAGGAGCCCCTCCAGCACTGCAGAGGAGATGTGCATGCCTGGGAGCCAGCCTGGGCGCTGCTGCAGCAAGAGGCACTGCCCTGACACGCAGCGCCCTCCTGCCTTCCTTTGTTCTGGCAGCAGTGATTGCTGTCCCATGTTATTCATGTCGAAATCAGATCCAGCAGGAATGTTAAAATGCCACTGCCCAGTTAGGCTGCCAAATCCTCACAACTCCTAAGTGCCTTCTGGGTTTTTTTGCAATATGCAGAGATGGTACAGCCAGCACAAGTGAGTGTACAGAGAATGGTGAGAAAATGGCATGAATTGCTACCCATGTCAGACTCTAAAGAATAGCATTTGTGTAGAGATTCATCAGAACCTGTTTGTCAGTTTCGAGGATTGAGATTCTAGGGCTATTTTAAGAGATTAGGAAATGAATGGAATTTTTAACACTTTTTTCTGTACAAAGCAGAAAAAAAGACTACAATTTAAAAGACTTATATACTCTTATTCTCTTCCAAGAATGGTCTCTACGTTTTACTTTTAAATAAAATTATAAATAGCTTCTGCTAAAAAGTGATGCATTTTTAAGGTAAATGCTACTTTCATTAAATATTGATAAAGGCAGGAGATAATAAAATAAATCTCTGTCAGCTACTTTGAAATCTATTACCTGAAATCCCAAGCTGTCAGCTGTGCTAAGTATGTATTATAGCTCCAGAAATGCCAGTGCAGCTGTGACACAAATTTAAAATTTGACCTGCTGTGTACATATTAATATACATCAACACCTAATGAAATCTAAAGTACTTCAGAATCTTTATCCTGTGCTTACAATTTGTCACGTTATGAACAAATGAAATTTAATGTTAATTTAAATATATATATATTCAGGATTGATTGGCTTAAAATTTCCACCATCTCCCATTTCACTGTTGCAACGATCTTTTATGCAAAAGCGCACAAATACCAGGATGAAGTGAAGCTACCTGCAGTAAGAGGATTTGTGCACAAGGAATTCTAGAAGTGTGAGTGCTGGGAATGATGAGCACATGCTGTGTCAGCCCATCTCTGATCTCCATACTAGATCTTCTGTTTTTGCCACTGTTCTGTAGAAGGGGAGCAGAGACTCAGCAGAATCCATTGCTGAATCAGATGTCATGGAGGCAGAGATGGTGAGGCAGAAAGTTAAACCCAGATTTTCCAACTCCCATATTCATACTACTGGATTATCATTCTCCTTCTTGCACATTGGAATGAAATTGTTCTTTTTTAAGCAAATCATTGCACGGTGCTCTTCAATATGCTATTGTCTGGTCCTTCATTTATCTAGGAGTACTGCAAGCATATTCTGTCCCAGCTAGAGCAAAAATATCTTCTAACATCCTTTGCTATGTGTGACTTGTGGGGGAGGGATAAAGATTGGAATGGTGATGCTCCATCTCAGAAATAAAGTACCATTTTAGGAAGGAAAATTATTCAACTTGTTCATTAGAAATGAGATCATGGAAATCAGTAGCGTAAAAATTAAATAATTTTCTCCTTCAGTGAGACACAAGTGTCCAGAGCAAGATGCACAGAATTTTTGTTGTTAGACGGTTTTGTTGTTGACCAGAAAAACATTATGTTATCAATATTGTTTCTGTGTGGATCACAGAACTGACAGATTATGTGTCTGTGACTTCCACCAGATTCCTAAAGCTGATCAAGACACAGTGTGACATGTCACCTCCTGGACCTACAAGTGTCTTCCTTGCTGCAGCACACCATGCCCCTGCAGCAAGAAGAGCCATGCTGACAGATTGGTTCTCAGCCTATTGAGAATGTGCAAGAAAAGGATAAAGACAAAAAATGTTACCAATAAGTGAATGGCAGAAATCTGTGTTGATCTAAGAAAATATTTTTTGGCAAGTTGTAAACTAGCTCAACCAGGGAAATGTCTATTATAATAATGCTTGGAAAATGCCAAACAAGTATAAAGTCAAAACATGCATTTCTTCTCAAAACACAAAAGGAATAAATGGCCCAGTCCTGCTGATTTAAAAGGAACTGCTAATAGCTTTAACCATATGTTCAGAATCTAATTCATCCTGTGTCATTCTGTTCTGTGCTCTGCTTCTTATTTCTGTGCAATCCGTAAGATTTCAGTGCAAGATACAAATCACCATCACGCATCACAAATTAGATGAAAATACAGGCAATAATTTCTATCTTAGGCTCTGAGTACAGTACATTTACTGGTCTGAATCACTCAGGGAATGTTTGTGAGGTTTTACTTGTTCAGAAGGATAAACACCCAGATCATGCTCCCAGTGCACAGCTCTGCCAATGCACCATCGCTCTGATTTGTAATGCTGATTGGCTGTTTCAAGCTAAACCTCAACGCACTTCTCTCCCTTAGAACTGCTCCGCCAATCTCATGTTCAATCTACAGCTCCATTTGGAGCCTGCTGATTACTCTCTGTCAAAATTCATGGCAGTTTTGTGAAAGGACAGACACTAATTTCCAAAGTTTCCATCCTGCAGAAATGTTTCATTTTCAAAACTGTAGCATCAAGTGATGAAGGAAAGCGCAAAGCTACTTTCTATTTTGCATAGGAACCAAGTTTCCACTGAACAAGCATTCTCCAAATGAAAGACTGACTTCTTCAAAAAAATTTAAGCAGGCTTTAAAGGCCTAGGCACTGCACAGCTGCTATGACAGCATCTGCAGCACGTCCTACTCTATTTATATCGTGTATTCCATTATAATGCTCTGAAACTGTATTTTAGTCTGATTTTCTTCTCCCTCAGTTGGTAAGAACCACAGGATGGCTCCCTAGAAGCCAGTGGCTGTGGATACAGAGCGAGTGTGAAGTCAGTCAAAACTTTTCCTCCTGTCTAATTCCAAATGGGAGCAGTGCCTGTTAGCTGGTGGTAGCTGTTTGCTTGTGACTGTTACTGCACCACAGACAGCTCACTAATGGCCCGTTATGAGATGGAAAAAGTATTTAGCAATAGACTATTTATTTTGTGTGCACATGCAGGGAACAGAATGGTACAAAACACTTATTTTCTACGTGTCTTAATGCAATGGAGGCAGATTGCTTTTACTGTATTTGCATTTCCATATCAATTATTGTCTGGCTTTGTTTGTAAACAATATTCAGAAGAACTGAATAGCAGAGTACCACATAATGGAAGGAAAACCAGACTGAACAGAAGTATTGAAAACAAAGCCTTACGCAGAGCAAAAAAGAGAAAGCTGCTTAAGGCACAGCATGTATTGTTTTAAACATAACAGATGAGTTTCACAGAATGCCGTATGATTTAGTCTATCTACCTGAAGAAACTGCAATGCTTTACGTGCCAAAACTCTGTCAGTACCTATATTGTGTGCACACAGAGCTTTTTGCCATGGTTACAGTGCTAACTGTACTTCCAGC